GTGCTGGCACTAGACACTCTGAGAAAGCAGACAGTGTGCACGGGGAGTGGGCTGTCTGTGGAGGGCCTATTGTTCTTCAGCTGCTGAGTCTGCGAGTCTGGGCCTGTGTGAGAAGATGGACCATCACTGCTGCCCCTCCCATCCCCACCAGCAAACAGGATCTCTGCCTGTACGTGAACTAGTGAGTGCATGCGTGTGACCTGTAACCCTCCCACTAGCTGGTCACCCAGGCAGGGCTTACTCCCCTCCTTCAGGCTGTCTGGTGAATGTAGATGACTCACTCTCTGCACAAGGCTCCCTGGAGCTAACTGCCTCTCCCCGGGGTCACCTTCGTGCGGAAGGCGGGAGAGCTGGGCCCTGTTGCTTGATCACGTGTTTCTAGAGCTTTGCTTTAAAAGTCATCTGGATGGACCTCCGACAAGTTCCCTCAGCCATCAAGTAGGAGACCAGGCCCGGGACCTGCCTGCGCTGGAGGCCTGTCCCGTGCTTTGGGCGAAGCCACCGGGTCTCCTGCCCCGGATCCGTGTGTCCTGGCCGGAGCCTGCTTCCAGAACAGCCCCTGGAGACACGGTCCAGCACTCGATGCCGTGGAGGGAGCCCGTGGGCTGGGAAGACCCACGGTGTGGGCTGTGCTAAGCAGCCAGAGATAGGGTGCCAAGGAGCTGCTGCTGGGACCTCATTTTGCTGCCTGAAAAGCGGACTATGGTAACCCTGCTTCTTCCCACCCCCGGCCGCGCAGGCGGGTCCCCTGGGATAAAGGGGGACCGTTCCAGACCCCCGCAGGCCATGCACCCCTGCTGGCGCAGGAGCAGGAGCCGGGCGGCCACCTGTTGTTAATCTAGGCCTCATAATCCACCCTGCACTGTGTCAGCAGTTCAAAAGGGCACTGTTAGTATTTTTTGCCGACTTCAATTAACGTGAGATTTCAGAGGCCCCTCTGATCACATTTCATCTGTCACAAGTCGGGAACAAAACAGACAGGTTCCAGTGGAGAGGAGGAAGGAGAAGGAGTTTATTGCAAACAACAACCAAACAAGACAGTCTGGGCTGTGCCCAGCCAGGTGCTCGGGGCGACTGTGGCTCCCGCTCTCCAGCGGCCCCAGGCCTGGGCCCCCAGGTCTCCTCCCCCTCCGTGTCCCTCCCCTCCCCGAAAAGACGTAAGTGCAATAACTTACTTTAAAGGCAAGAACGTTTCTATGAATACTTTGCTGTAATGTAGTTACTTGGTGGTATAGGCAGTAAAATTTTATGGAACCGACCTCATTTTTTTTTAATACATTTTTTTTCTGAATTTTTCATGTATTTTTTAATATATATTTTTAATATCCACCCCAGGCCATTAAGCTAAAGGAAAAGTTGCGTTTATACAGGGTTAACATATCTTACAATGCGAACAAGTCAGTATCGGTTGAGGTTCATGTTCCTTCTAGCACTCAGCCCTCTTTCCAGCCACGGCACACCCAGATTGTTAGACATCGAAAACTGTCCTTCAAAATCAGTAGTATAAAGGCCTAGCTCTGTGAACCTAAGGGTGGGGGGAGGGGGGGAGGGGTGAAGGAGGGGCGAGATTAGGTCATGTTCACTGGGACACCTCTCCTGCTGCCAGCATCCTTCATGAAGTGAAGTGGGCGGCCCGACTTTTGAGAAGTAGGGTTTGTGTGGCCTCCTCATTTTCCTCTTTTCTGTTCGTGGATGATTATCCTGGGGGCCAGCTTGCCAGCCGTCCTCCCCAGCAAGCCTGACAGTCAGGGCCATTGCCCAGAGCAGAAGCTCAGGGTGTCTCCCAAGGCGGCCTCCCCATGACCCAGCCCGGAGAGAGAGGGTGGAAGCAGGATGCGTGGCTGTTTTCATGAGAGAGTTCCTCTTGCCCGCCCGCCCGCCCGGTGGAATCGGTGGAATCGAGGGCAGAAAGGGCACTGGAGCTGGGCCCAGTGTGGCCACGCGATGTGGGCCGGGCCCCACCTCGCCATCGCAGGGTCGCTGGGCCAGCCTGGCCACCGTGCTTCCCCGTGCTGGGGCACAGCAGCCAGAGCTGAGAATCAAGTATCGTTGGAAGAACTCAAGGGAAGATACAAAGCCCGTGTCCTCCAAGTCCAGGGAAGACTGTGGACAAGCCCCTCGGCGTGCCTGCCCCAGGCCCTCTCCTCCTCCCCTTCCCAGCAGCAGTGACAGCATGAGGGGGCAGCACCTCAGTGTCCAGCCCTGGCGGCAGGGGCACCCCCAGTGGGGTGAGGCTGCCCACCACTTCAGGTCTGCGTCGCCACCTCTGCTGAGATCCTAGGCAAGTGGCCCAAGGGAATCTTCGCCTCTTCAGCTTCTCCGCAGCCACAGAGCAGGCTGCTCCTGCTCCTCCTGCTGCTGTCCTGAGGAGCCACCAGCCGGAGAGTCCTCAGGCGGGCTGAGCCGTCCCAGGCGCTGCTTCGGGGATGCCTCCCGCCCTGAAACACGGAGGGCCAGGGCCTAACTCTTCTCCCCGCCTTCGGGGAAGAACCCAGGAGAAAGCAGCTGAGGAGGGCAAGGCACCCGAACAGAGAGTTGAGTGCTGGCCCTGGGGGGATGGGGGGTGGGTGCTTCATGCAGCAGCTGCCCCCTAAGACTTGGCAGTCAAACCCAGGCAGCATGTCAGGCTGCTCTCAGCTTTCCTGACCTCTGGTTCGACCTGTCAGGGCAGTCACTGCTCCCTGGGAACCGGGTCTCCTGTCTCCATTGTAAGGGGGTTGAACTAACTAGAGTAACCCCCAACTCCCCAGCTCTCAATGTGGTTCTCAGAGTGTCAGGCAGGCCCTAGAGGGCAGGACAGGGAGGACAGGCCAGAGGGAGGGTAGCCACCTTGGGGAGATGAGCAGGGACGCGTTAATCATGAATACAGGGCTCGGGGCTCTGGTGGTGGGACAGGCAGCCAGAGCCACAGAGCGACTTCCCCTACCAGAAGCCTTCTCTTAAAGCAGACACATAGAAAATTGGGTGCTGAGGTCCCTTCCAGAAGGATCCACTGCCAGCCCTCCCCCCCCTCCGCCCCCCTTGGGGCTTTCTCTGTGCAAGGACTCTCTCCTGATGAAAACATGCCTTCTTGAAGGTTCCCATTTAGGAGGAAATGGGACTGCTCCCAGCTTGGGCAGCTTGCTCCTTCCCTCGCTAGGGTTTTTTTTTTTTTTTTTTTTTTGGGGGGGTGGGGGTGGGGGTGGGGGTGGGGGTGGGGGTGGGGGTTGTCTGGTTATTTCAGTGGCCCTCAGAACTGAAAAGGCCACTCCATGATCCTCCAGCAAATGAAATCCGGAAAGCCACGCCTTCAAGGACGTCCAATGCCATGTCCGAGACCCCTGTGGCTCCAGCAGAGTGACTTCAGAGTTCCGGCTCACAGAGGCCTGGCTCGCCTGAGGGAGGCCAGAGCCAGATGCTCCCCGGCCTGTTCTGGAGCCGAGGAGAACTCTGCGATTTCCTGTAAACCCCGAGCAGCTCAGGGGCAGGGGATCTGCCCAACCCAAGAGGCTGGCCTGCATCCAGGCCCCGGGGCTGACAGGCCTGGCCCTCCTCACGGGCAGGACCAAGGGAGAGAGTAAGAGACAAGCACTTCAGGGGGTGGGGACTGCCATGGACCTCCCGGAGGACGGGGACATACTGTGTGCCATGGCTTTGGTGACGGCTGGGGCCTAGCTGCAGGTCTCAAGTCGGGCAGACATGGAGTGCCCCTCCCCCTTGGAGGCCCCTTCCTATAGGCAGGGCAAGGCTGCGGAGGGCATTCTGGGCTCGCCCCTAGGAGCCTCCCAGAGACCAGAGGGAGGGGCTGGGGATTCCGATCCCTTAGGAAGAAGCCTGAGGTGGGCTGTTTGCCCTGTGCTTGGAAGGCTACGGAGCCCCACAGCCGTGGAAGGCTCTGGAAGGTATGTCAGTGTGCCAGAGATAGTGGAGGATGGGAAGGCAGCGTGGAGACTGAGCATGGGCACAGATCCTCCAGCAGATCCTGCACACGCCCCTGACCTGTGCCTTCCCCAGGCCCTGGCTCCAATGTCCCAGGTGTAAGTCCTTCCAAGACACTGCTCAGCTGCCCCAGTGAGTGACCAGGAGGGGACAGGAGGGAGGACCCCCCGCCCTCAGAGGGGCTAACTGGATGGAGAACAGACCTGCCTGACCTGCCCATGGTCGCTGTCATCCTGCCCGCAACGGGATGTCAGGACCGGAGACAGAGGGTGTGTGCGAGCCCTGCCCTCCCTGGACATTTCCCTGTGGCCTTTTCTCTCTCTGGAAGCTTCTCTCTCCTGAGCACCGGGGGTACCATGGGGTCTGCATCCTCCCTGGCGATTCACCCAGATCCAGGGTTTCCGGGTGCGTCCCCCTCCTGCACGTCAGCACTGCTGGTGACCGCTGAATTCTTCGGCTCCCGCTCTTTGGCCCACTCATTCCTTCTGGGCGTGTCCAGCCTGGGGACAGTCAGGATGGGGACTCCTCCATTCTGGGTGACGGTGAGGCAGGTGCCTGGGGTCCAGGAGGTCAGGTTTTACGGGGTGTTCAAGAAGAGGAAAGGAGCCAGGAGGGCGGAGGGCTGACCCTGCAGGTCAGCCTGTTCTCCAGACAGTCTTGGGGCTGCTGACCGGGACCACACAGAAGAAGGATGGACGGACCTGACTGCACTGCGGCTGCTGCTGGGTCTCAGCGGGAACTTAGACTTGACTCAGTGGTCACACCAGGCGGGATGAAGGAGAGGGTCTTCAGCTTCTAATGGATGCGAAGTCGCAACCCCGGCCACCGCTTCCTCCGCTGCCCCTGGCCGGGAGCAGGCATCTCGGCCGTGGTGCGGGGAGGGACAGGGGCCTGCTGTCCTCTCCCTCCCAGCAGTCCACGGGGCCTCAGACCTGGGGTGGCTGAAAGTGCTGAGGGTCAGGCCCCTGGCCCGGGCCAGGTTCCTAAGAGGAAAGTCGAGTGGGAGGCTGGGGGCCTGGAAAGCATGGGCGTGGCCAGCGCCCCGAGGTGGGGCGGGTGCGGGCCGGGGAGGGAGGGCCCTGTCATGTGGCCCAGGAGATGGCCGCACTGTGCTCCTTGGCCTTCATGCGCAGGGCCGCAATGCTCGAGGTCTTGCGGTCCGGCTCCCCGTTGAGCTCATAGCCGTTGAGGCCCGGGCCGAGGCCGGCTCCGAACAGGCCGCCCATGTGCGTCTGGCCCACGTGGCCACCGGCCCCGGAGACGCTCAGGAAGTCGGTGACGCCGCCGGCCCCGGAGCCAGGGGGGTGGGCGTGAGGGGACATGCAGGCTGGCACCGGGTCGCAGGGGACCACGCAGGCGGGCACTGGCGAGGCTGCCCCGTTGTTGCCGATCCAGGACGGGTTCTGAATCTGGGTAGGAGGAGGAGGGAGACATGTCACCAGCTGCCTGGGGTAAGGGTGGCGGGGTTGGGGGGGCAGGGGGAGTCCATAGGAATACCCCCTGAGTGACCTCTCCCCACAATGAGCTCTCCCCAGCATGAGGATGAGCCCATTCTTGCTTGGGAGCCTCTCTAAGCATGAAGGTCCCCCAGGCGCCCCCAGGAGAGCCTGGGCTGGGTGTTTTGGCGGCTGCCCCGCCCCGGGGCCAGGCCTGCAGTAGGTAGAAGTTCTGTCTGCTTCGAACTTCAGACTGCATCTAGGGTCCAGGGAGAGGTTGGGGCTACAGCTAAGCAGCCGAGGGCAGCCCGTCTCAGCCACTGCCTTCCTGATCATAGACACAGTTGCGGACTTTGTCTCTTTGTCCGTGGACCCTTTGAGGCCAGCACCTGATTTACCTCTGGCTCCTCCCAGGCCAGAGCCTCCAAGGTACCCGATCAGCGGAGAGCAGGGAGCTGGGCGTTGGGGGCATGGGCTCTGGGCTGGTGGGTGGTGGTGTGGAGGGAGTGCGAGGGGGCAGAGAGGACCTACATCTCTCTGAAGCCAAAGTCAGTGGCTGAGGATCTCAAAGCTGGTGCCCTTGAGGCCTCAGAACTCACTCGAACCAACGGATACACTGCCTCAGGAGGTGAGTGCAGCGACTGAGGGGATGGAGCCAGTGGGGCACCCATATGTCTGGGGTGAAGAGGAACTGACCTGGGCGTAGTTCTCAGCGCGCGTGAGGAGGGGCAGCTCGTAGGCCGTGGAGAAGTGGGTCCGGACCTGCTGCATCTGCCCGAAGCGCTCCCGCTTCCGCCACTTGGCTCTCCGGTTCTGGAACCAGACCTGCAGGACAAAGCAGGTGTCATAGGGTCCGGTCCGAGGCCCAGCCCTCAGCGGTGACGGGAGCCCAGCAGGCCACGGGGCTGCCGGCGAGCGCCGCTTCGGTGTGCATCCCCAAGGGCTTACCATCTAGACCGGTCGAAGCTGAGAGTCAGGGAGGCAGCTCGCTCACCCCACACCAACCAGGGGCGTGACCCTGGCCAGGAACTTCATTTTTGCTACGTGTCAGGATCTAGAGCAAGCGTCACACACATGAAACACGTCCTGGTCGTGAGCATTTATGGGGAGGTGTGGCCTGATCTGCTGTGAAGAAGCTGATAAAAGCGTGAATACCCCTCCAGAAAATTGTCCTATTAGACCAGCTTGCAAGCCACATGCGACGTGCGAGCCACATGAGGTGTGCAAGCCGCGGTTTGCCGCTCTGTTGACAAATGAGTTTGCCGACCACTGTATTAGACCGTGGTTTTCCGAACGGCCCGTGGCTCCCTGTGGCCTGCCAGCCAGAGGCCCTCCTGACTCTGCCTCCCCCCACTCTTGTGGAAAATAGTCTCCTGGCTCTGAAACCCTGTGTTAAAGGGCCTGAGGATCACAGGGCTCTGCCTGCTGTGCAACAGAGGCAGTCAGGGAGGGCTTTTTGGAGGGGAGGGCTGGAGCGGGGCCTGGAGTGTTGGCTGGAGGGAGAAGAGTCCAGGCCTGAGTTTAGAGACACCGGGCACGCTGCCCAGTTGGGGAGCAGTGGGAGAAAGGAATCGAGGAAGCAGAAGTCAGACAGTGGGGATCTCGGGGGCCAAGTGCAGGAGTTTGCCCTTGATGCTGTCAGCAGAGGCAGACGTGTAAGCGCTCACTCAGAAGGGAGGCCTCATGGGAAGAGGGCTGGAGGCCACCTGTCACCGAGCATGGGTGGTGGGAGCTGGCCTGACTGGGAGCCTCAGTGAAGGGGTGGTGTCCGGGGCAGGTGAAGGAGCTGGGATCGATGGGGGGTGCCTGGGGCCTTCTGGCCCAAGGCTCGTGGGCAAGAGCTCCCTTCAGGGCCTGTGAGCCTTGCCTGACTGGGAACCACCAGGTGGGAGAGGGGGTGCAGAGGGATCGGCTCCCAAGCCAGGGATGGCCTGGGGCCGAGTCAGAGGTGGGGAGCTGGGCTTCCCAGAGGCAGGCTGGGCAGCAAGCCTGTCAAAACCCAAAGGCTGTCGGGACCGGTTTGGCTCAATGGATAGAGCGTCGGCTTGGGGACTGAAAGGTCTCAGGTTCGATTCCGGTCAAGGGCATGTACCTTGGTTGTGGGCATATCCCTAGTAGGGGGTGTGCAAGAGGCAGCTGATCGATGACTCTCTCTCATCAATGTTTCTGACTATCTCTCTCCCTTCCTCTCTGTACAAAATCAATAAAATATATTAAAAAATAATAAAAATTATAAAAAAAAAAAAAAAAAACCCAAAGGCTAACACAGACCCCATAAACGAGGCATGCGGCCTGTGGGCTGTGCAGCTGACATGCTTTCTGCACAGGCTCCCAGTGTCGCCCAGGAACGGAGTGCCCCACGGGAGCGCTGGCACTGCCAACAGCCTCTGTTTCTGCCTCTGGAAAATGGGCCAATATTTGTATTGACATCTCCCAGGGGTGATGCCTCTTAGGTGAGACAGATGGGAAATTCCATCCATTTTTAGAGTGCTCCACATTTGTTTATTTATACCCTGTTTCCCCGAAAATAAGACAGTGTCTTATATTAATTTTTTTCTCCCAAAGTTGCCCTAGGTCTTATTTCCAGGGGATGTCTTATCTTTCCATGAGCTAGGTCTTATTTTCGGAGGATGTCTTATTTTCGGGGAAACACGGTAGCGCCTGGCCTTTCTTGCTATCCTTCGCTAGAGGAAAGGCTCAAGAAATCTGAAGTACACCGTATGTATCTCATGCGAGCTTAGGAAGGGTGAGGGGAGGAGGGAGTGTGTACTGCACCTCCCTTCCCCCCAGCCCCAAGTATGCATGGGCACAAGTGTACACACACACATGCAGGCACACACACCACACACCCACACGCACACCCCACACACATGCATGCGCACGCACCACACACACACACACACACTCACACACGTGTGCACATGAACACATACATGCGCGCACACACGCGCGCGCGCGCGCGCCTGCCGAAGTTTCTTTCAGTCACTCTTTCCCCGCTCCTGACTGTGGTACAGGAGAAGCGGTCTTCCTGTGTCCTCCCTGGAGACTGGCCCTCTCCTGGGCCTGGGGTCTCGGCCCTGCCCCAGAGCCTGCTGGGAGCCAAGGGCGGGTCAGATCTCCACTCTGCGGGGCTGAAATGGGATCCCCCTTTATCAGCGGCCTGGAATGGGGGGCTGGGGGCAGGATGAGAGAGTGCATCAGAGGAGCTTGTTTTCATTTCATGTTTAATTTCCTGCAGGCTTAGCTCAGTCTTTCCGCTCCTTCCTCCACCTCCCAGGGCTTTCTGTGGAGGGAGCCGGGGGGAGGGGAGAAGCCCACCGGAGGCATCAAGATATATGGCTTCTTTGGGGGCGGGGAGAAGGCAAGAAGAGGTTCAGTTGCCGCCTGCGGAGGTTTCTGGGAGCCGGTGGACTCGGGGTCTCTGTGTGGGAACGCGGAGTGGAGAGGTGCCGGTGAAGCCTCCGCAGGCCTGGATGGGCTGGGAGGGACGCAGCGGGGAGGGAGAGGGCCAGTGTCCCTAAAGGAGCCTGGAATTGAGGGGAGGAGCAGGGCGGGGGGGGGGGGGGGGGGATGGAATGTGGGGGAGCTGGTTGTGGGGGAGGAGGAGGCCGGCAGAGGGGAGACCTGGTTATCTGGGAAGATAGATGAGCAGGCGAGGGAGAGGAGGCAGAAAGAGCACTGGCTTGGGGAGGGGAGGGAGGTGGGGTCAGGCTGAGGGCTGAAGATGGAGATGGTGGGAGGCCGCCGACTGTGGGGGAGCAGGCTGCTGAGAGCAGACCTGCCACCTCCCCCTGCAATTCCTCCCTCCCTGGGCCCCACCCTGTGCACATGGCTAGCGCTCTCTGCCCAGATCCGTCTTTAAGTTAAACTAGCCTCTCTGGTCTGCAGCCTCCTCCCACATAGATGGGGCGGTGGCAGGGGCATCCTCACGGGCCCGTCCTGTGCCGACATTCATGGGTCCTAAGGCTTTGCGTCCTTCTATTTCTGACCCCTGGAGCCTGGCACTCTGAGAGCAACCCCCCTGCTTCCACCCAGATTCCCTGTGCCCCATGCCTGTCTCCACAGCACACCCGCAGGAGGAGAGCAGGCCGCAAGGTTCTGTGTGTCTCACCCCAGACCACCCCATTCCCCGGCCCCTCCGGCATGAGCCCATCGGCGCAGACCTCTCCCCAAGGAACCAACCTTCTTGGCAGAGGCCCTGCTAACCGCAGCCCATCTGGGGCCCTGGCGGGGTGGCCCAGGGTGGGGAAGGCCTCTGTCTTATTGTCTTCAGACACCAGCTGCGCAGATTGGAATCCCAGACACAGAGAGAGAGGCCCCTGCAGCCCCCTGGAGCAGGGCCAAGCCCCGGGCTTCTTCCCAGGAAGGGCCCATCTCGGCACCCCGGTCACCTCCTCCTGTGCCCCCCATCCAGGCACCGGGCTTCCCACCAGCTGGTGGTGGGCCCCAAACACACTGAGCGGAGGCAGGCAGGGGGTTCCGCCACCATTCCCTCTGCCCCCAGGGCACTGCCAGGCTCGGGGCTCAACCCAGAGGTCTGACGCACATGCACATCCCACCCACCCTGCCAGGGCCTTCATACAAAGACGTCTCAGAGCAACCGACAGCAAACTGAAGCGAAAGAAGCCCCAAGCTGGAACCGCGAGTCTCAGATCCTAGTCTCAGCACTGCCACCGCGCCCGTTCCTGAGTCCCCGGACCACAGTCACTCTCTCCCCCAGCCGCTTGCTCCTTGTCATCAAACGAGAGGACCAGGTGATCCTCTCCAGCACTAACACCCTGCAATTCTAGGATCGCCCCTTTGGATCAGAAAACAGGCAACCCTTTCTGCCTTGGCTGCTGGGAAGCTCAGAGGCGAAGTTTGTGCTCAATGGCAACGATGATCCCAAGTCTAGATTTCTGACATGATGACCTTCCCATCTTATGAAATTGTTCCTGTTCTTAGGTGAAAATAATGAATTTTCCATTATAAGCTACTTCTCAACTCCTTTTTTGGGGGCAGGCATAGATGTGTGTGTGTGTGTGTGTGTGTGTGTGTGTGCAGAGAGAATACCATTTTAGCTGGATAGTGGTGACCGAAAAATGTTTGGCATGCCCCAGTGTCATTTCCATGTTTAGTACTGGAAGGGCCATCCTTCTTTCTATACTAAGGGAATTATACCCCTGGATACTTCCATCCACTTGTTAGGAACACATACAGCACACATATACGTACACACATCCTACACAAAAAATGAGCCGGTTAATCCCACACCAACACAGAACCTACAGGAATGTCCCACCCCCCGACAACCCCTTCTCCACCTCCTGCCAAATCCATTGGCTGAGCTGAGGCCAGATTCTGAGGTTCCTGTCCAGACTCTGAGCACGTGAGGTCATGTGGCCAGTGATCCCCGACAGTGGGTGTGAGATGGCTTTTGGAAACCCCGTAAAGCCTGCCCTACCTTCCTTCCCCAAACACTCAATCAGGGTCAGAGCGGAAAACAACAAACAGCCTGCCCTCGGGAGCTTAGGCTTAACCCCCCTGTTCACATTACTGTGGTTCAGACCACTTCTGGATGGCTACATATTTATTGAAATGGCTGGTCCTTCCCATGTTAGCCATCATACAGCATGATTCTGGCCTGCATTGCAAATGTCTCTCCTCCCGCCTGGTGTGACTGGTGAAGCATGTATCGCCTTAGAAGGGTTCTGATAAGACTCCTTAGTGAACTAATGCCACAGGGGGTGCCCTTGGGATATGCTGAGTAAGGCAGGGCTCTTTGTCCCAGCATTGAAAGTCTTTCTGAGCTGAGCTGAGCGAGCTGTGCTGAAAGAAAAACAAAACAAAAAAAACAATTTCTATTTCCTCAAGCTGTTGACTTCCCTAGCACACTGAGGGGGAAACCTGCTATCTGATGACATTTTATTTGCCATTTCTAACAAGCTCTGGGGTGGAAAACAGGCTGATGATGCTCTATGTGAAGCTGAGACCTGAGCTTTAGTGCATAAGTTTTGTCACTTGTTTGGGATACTCAGAGGTCTTGGTTTCCTGTCTGGTTCTTTCTTTGCTATAATTTCACACTGAGTGGCGGGGACACCCTCTCTGGACAAATGAAGTCAATTGGTCCACAAATATTTACTTTTTGCCTTTGTTTCTCTGATTTTGGCTTTCTCTAATTGGTAGGAATACAGGGGTGAACAGTCACATAGTACCTGCCCTCAAAGGCTCATATTCTAGTGAGAGGAGACAAACATAAAATAATTTAAGCCAGTCATTTCTACAAAGGAGATAAAATAGGATAATGTGGCAGTAGGTAACCTGGTTTGGTTGTGTTGTGTTGTGTTGTGTTGTGTTGTGTTGAGTTACATTGTGTTGAGTTGTGTTGATTAAGTTGGATTGTATTAAATTGAGTTGTGTTGGGTTTTGTTGGGTTGGGATGGGCTGAGATGTGTTGAGTTCTGTTGCATTCTGTTGCATTTGTGTTGGTTTTGTTTGAGTTGGGTTGTACTGAATTAAGCTGAGCTGGATTTTGTTGTTGTGTTGTGTTGAGTTGTGTTTTGTTGGTTTGGGTTGAGTTGAGTTGTATTGAATTGAGTTGTGCTGGATTTTATTGTGTTGTATTGTGTTTGTTGTGTGATTGGGTAGTGCAGAGGGCTTCTGCTTTCACCATAATGGTCAAGAAGACTTCTCAAAGGAGGCATAGAGAGTTGGGATCTGAAATACAGAGGAGTAGGTGGCAGAAGGAAGAGCTGGATTGGTCTTGGTCTCTGCCCACTGGGCTGCTGTGATGTCTTTAAGTTTACCCTGTTTCCTTTCTAAGAGACAGATCTTCTCTAGCAGAGACTAGTCATTTACTCCTTTATGAAACCACTTAGACTCTCACACCACTTAGAGCCCAAATACAGCTTCCAAGCTTCCTGCCCCCTTCCCCTCCCCCCCCCGGGCCCTCTTCTCCCACTCCTGCTCCAACCAAAGGGAGGAGCCCAATGTTAAAGTGAAGTAGGGCCATGAGGGGCGGGCTGAGAGCCTCTGGGGCTCTCCTTGGACGAGGTGAAGACAGTGTGGTTGAGGGACAGTCGGCAGGCTCAGCTCCAAGGGAAGGCCCCGCTCTCACACCCCACCCTCCCAGGCACCCTCACTGACCTGCACACGGGCCTCGGTGAGGTCCGTCCTCATGGCCAGCTGCTCCCGCGCGTACACGTCGGGGTAGTGGGTCTTCTGGAAGACCTTCTCCAGCTCCTCCAGCTGGTAGCTGGTGAAGGTGGTCCGGTTCCGCCGCTTCTTGCCCTTGTTACTCTCCGAGTCAGCCTTCTCCAGCGGGCTGGGGAGGTCGGCGCTGGCCCGGTCCTGGGGCCCCTTCACCCCAGCCTCCTTCACACTGAGGTAGCTGCTGTCCATCCCCACGGTATCAGAGTCGGGTGGCAACTCTGGCTCACTCAGGGAGCTCTCTTTGGCTGAGGGGGAAGGAAACAAGGTCAGAAACCAGTGACTGAATCAAGAAAGAGAGCAAGGAGGGACAGGGGTGCCATCCTCTGACTTGTCTCATTGGATGTGAGGTCAGGAGGCCTGGGTTCTAATCTTGGCTTGCCATTACCATGCTGGGTGACCTTGAGCAAGTCTCTTTCCCTCTCTGAGACTTTACCATCATCTCAAAATGGTCCCTTTTTAGCAACAATGTTATGTGAATATGGGTCAGTCATTATGACATCTATGACCTTTAATTCCCGCCCTTCTGAGCCCAGTCTCCTCCCTCTAGAAGGCCCCCCCCCCTTGCCAGAACTTCTCCTTTGGGCATGGAGGGTGTGAGTCAGTGCCTTGGGACCCCGAGATGGAAGGGAAAACTCATTCAGCTGTCATTTCTGGACCAACTGAGCTTGGGGTGAGGAGGAGAGGCCGAGGCAGGCAGAAGTGCCCCTCTTTTCCTGGCCTGGTGTCTTTTGGAGGTTGAGCAGGAATTGCGGATCCCTCTCCAAAAATCCACATCCCCTTGCCCTCCACACTGGTCTCACCAATTGGCCAAGCAGTGTCCGGCGCCCTCCAGGGAAGCCCTGGTTGATTTACACAAAGCTGGAGGTCCACAGCCACTGCTGTCCCTCAGAATGGGGCTCCACCCACCAGTTCTTAGAAGCTGGAAAGGATCAGTTAATCCGTGCAGGTCAGGGATGAGGCAGAGACCACGGTGGGAGGGTGGGGCAGGGAGTGGCTTTTCAGCATCCAAAGAGCCCTGTTAGCACCTGGGCAGACACAATGGCCTCTGGGGCTGGAGCAAGGCCTCTGGAGCCCGACCGTAGGTACACATCCAGCTGTGTGCTTTGGACACTTTCACTGAACCTCTTTGTGCCTCAGTTTCCCCCTGCTGACGAGGGCAGCAGGATAGGTATCCGCATAGGGTAGTTGTCGGATTCAAGAGGCCACCATGTAAAGCTCGGGGCACAGTACCGGCTGGCTGTGCACGTTCCTGCCAGTGTCCTTATTCCCAGTGTGGTCTGGGCTGGCCAACAGCAGAGGACTGGCCCTGGAGAAGTCCTCCGAGTGGGCAGACGCTCGCCGGAGCACCTGGGTGCGAGTGCGTGTGCGGCCCTGTGGGGAGGGAGCAGGCTGGTGTCTGCAGACAGGGTATGAGCCCCTCTCGGAGCCGCAGTCCCTGTCTGTAGCTGGAGTTAGATGACATCACAGATGGATGAGACACATGTGCGCAGCCTCTGACAGGACCTTTCACACACAGGCTCCGATCACCACAAGCATGAGGGTCACGCTGACCCTCGCTTTCCTCTTCTGGGACGCGGCCCAAGCAGTGGGCAGTACGTGTTGGGACGAGGCCGCTGGCCCAGGTCTCCTGACCCTGCCCAGGTCCTGAGGCTTCAGGCTCACTCCAGGCTTTGTGGGTACCCCGGGGTCCCTTCAAGGGGGGGAACATTTTGTCTCTGTCATTCTACCTCCCTCTCCGAAGCCCTGAAGATGAGGGGGTGGAGGTGAGGGAGCCTGGAAGCAGCTCCAGGAGGACATTTCGGGGGGTCACTGCTAGTGCCGACACCCCCAGGGTGAGGGCCGGCCCACGGGATCACGCATGACACCATGTGAGCCTGGCACAGACCGCCAGGTCTCGGTGACAGCTTCACGTGAACTGCTGCTGGCAGCTAGGCCAAGAGCTTTCAGCAGAGATATTTATCTTCCTGGCAGACAAATAAGTTTTATATTTTGGGTGTTTTTTTTTGTTTTTTTTTAAGAGAAGAAATCCCACTCAGCCTCACCAAAAATAAACATCTCTGTTATGCAACTTCCTGTAGGTCTGACTGGCAGGGGGCAGCCCCTACCCATCCTGCTCACGCCCTGGGCTCCCTGGGCCCCATCCCATGACCCTATGGACCCTTAGCGCAGCCTCGGGCCCCCAGGCTGGGGTTGGGACCGCCCTGCACAGCCTCACGGGCTGAGCAGAAGGAACTCCATGTTATGGAAACGAATGGTTGGTAGGGACCAAAGTCCTGGTTTTAGCTGGGGGGGGGGGGGGTGGGACTGAGGCCAGAGAGCACGGGAAATGTGCGCTAACCCTCTCAAGTCCTGGGTCCTTCCCTGAGGACAGCAGGAGAGCGTAGGGGCAGAGGAACCAGGCCTCCCATAGCCAAGGAGCCCTGCTCAGCGCGTCATGGGGCAGAAGGGCCGCCCGGGGATGAGGGAGAAGTCCCTCAGGGCCACACTGGGTCTGGGCTTAGCCAGTGGGGAGGCGGCAGAACAGCCAGTCTTCCACGGTGAGGAGTCAGAACTCAGTCTCCCCACCTCCAGCCACCCACTGAGAGGGCGTGAGGGGGGAGATGGGGAGACAGCACGGTCTGTGTGCAGACACCACACCAAGGGCTGGGAGGTCTGCCATGACTCCGTGGGACTCATTTCACATCAGTCTCGTCTGCAGATGGGGCAGGCACGCCCCTCGGGAACGGGGCAGGGGATGAGGGGAAGCAGGCAGAGAGGGTGTCACACCTCATCAGGGTGGCGAATCCCTCCCACCCTGGGACTATGGACCTTCCCCTTGGGATCTGGATGGGGAAGGGGGCGGGCATGTCTGTGTCCAGGTGAATGTCCGCCAACCAGAAAGGCAGGAGATGAGGGGATTCTGGCAAACGGATGCTTCCGGTGCTCAAAGAGAAGGAAAGCCTCCCAATCTCAGTCCTGATTAGTGGTCACCTTGCTTGACGTCTTTTGACAGCAAAGGAACTTTCCCCGAGGTTCTGTGCCCACCCAGCTGGTGGCATGACAAGCCGAGGCCCTCTCAGGTCCTCGTTCCAAACATCCCGGACTTGGGGCATCTAGCTCAGCCTCCTTCCACCCCAGCATCTCCACCCAGTGCCGCTGCCCTGGCTTTGGTGACAGAACTCACTGCCCCTGGCAGCTGGACCTCCGTCCTGCAGTCCAGCCCTGTCTGTGTCCTGGAGACCTGACGCCCTGCTCCTGGTTCTAACCCTACAGACCCCCCAATACAGCCCAGTGGACATTGCAGGTTGGCTGCCCCCTCGGAGTTTCCCATCTCCTGACTATGAAGGTTCAGTTCCCCTCGCTGCTTCTCAGGTGGCCCCGGGTATATGGAGCCTGTCTCTGACAGGCGGATGCCAGGGATGGTGCCAGCAAATTGTTCTCTGGCTGGATGATCCCAAGGGGCTGGTGGAGAAGCAGCATGGCATCCTGAGACCTGGGTGCCCTTCTCAGTAAGATGGCACTGAAAATAGAGCTTCTGGAAACACACACACACACACACACACACACACACACACACACCCGTCTCCCAGGGCGGGCCCAGGCGGCAGAGGCACGGAGACGGGCTTGGGCATGTCCATATCCAGGAACCCCAGCCGGGCATCTGCCAGGAGCCGGCTCCGCACCCACCAGGCTGCTGTGCTGGGGTGGAGAAGTCCCCTGGGAGTCTGCCCGCTGGCCAGGCTGCAGAACCACTGCCTTCAGGACGATGGCACCAGCATGAGGCCGAGGAGCAGCAAGCCTTGCCTGGGGCCGGGTCACTGGCCTGGCCTGTGGGTTGGGCTCCTCCCCAGCCCCCCTCCCCTCCCCCAGGCAGGTCCCGTAAGGACTTCGAACAGTGCTGTGCTGACTGACACCCCTTCCACAGTGGGCTTTGTGTCCGGCTGTGGGGCCCAATACCCTGAAATCCTGATCTGCATCTTCCCCGTGGAATGTCCCGATGTGGACATGACCCCCAGGCCACCCGGAAGAATCAGTAAGGAGCCTAAGACACGGAGCGTGAGCACCCCGGGCCCATGGAAGGTGCACAGGCCCTGGTGGCCGTGGTGGTACCGCCTGCCCTTCAGACAGCCCAAGGTGAATGCTGCTTCCCTCACCCGCTGCTGATGAAGTGGGAGCTTTCCGTTCAAGGTTCTGTTCTCAATCAGCGGCCCCCAGGGCCCGGGGCCTCTGCCCGAGCTCCTCCAGGCCTGAGCCTCTTCCGGGAGCTGCCGGGTCCATCCTGGCTGTTGGGTTTGGAGAAATAGAAAAGCTTTCTTTATCCCCTGGCCCTCTCTGCCCACTTGTCCTGGTTCAACCCAGAGGCGTCACTCTAATGTAGCCTGACCCTTGTTGGACGTGAGGGCCCTTGAGAGGTTTCCAAAGGTGCCTGCGAGTGTTTATAACTAGGATTTAAAGAGAACGTATTAGGACTGTGGTTTAAAGAGAAGGGACTGCCGAAACCGGTAGTGGGTAGAGCATCGGCCTGTGGACTCAAGGGTCCTAGGTTCGATTCCGGTCAAGGGCATGTACATTGGTTGCAAGCACATCCCTAGTTGGGGGTGTGCAAGAGGCAGCTGATCCATCGATGAGTCTCTCTCATCGATGTTTCTAACTCTCTATCCCTCTCCCTTCCTCTCTGTAAAAAAAAATCAATAAAATATATTTTAAGAAATAAATAAAGAGAAGGGACTTCTGAAGCCATCGGGGGAAGAGAGTGCCGGGTGCCTCTGCGTGGGTGCTCCTTCCGTGTGCCCAGAGGGTGCCCTCGGGCATAGGCATGGCCGCAGTTGTCAATGGGTGTTGGGGTAGGGACCTACGTGTACTTGCCTGCAGAGCATGCGCACTTGTGCAGGCAAGCAGGATGTGTGTGCTATTGCGTGTGTAAGCAAGCATTATTCTGCAAATACACATGAGTGGGTATGGCCATAGGTGGTGTGTGTGTGTGAGTGTGCATGTGTGTGTGTGTGTGTGTGTGTGTGTGTGTGTGTGTGTGTGTGTGTTTGTGTGTAGTTGTGCCCAGGCCTTGCACATGGAGTGTGTGTCTGAGGGTCTGAATAATCGTATCCTCCCTGGTTTTGATTACATCTATTTTTCCTCCAAACATCTGCTTTGAGGGACATGCCGCCCGCTCCGCTCGCTCTGTTCTCGGGTGAGCGGCCTCGCACCCCCCGTGGCAGAGCGCACAGCGCCGATGTAATCTCCTTAAACAAAACAGGCCAGCGTGAGG